TGATATTTACAGTTTTGGAATTATTATGATAGAAATATTAACTGGTCGAAGACCTTTCGATGGTTACAATTTTGATGATTTGTCATGGGTTACGACCTGAATTTTTTATAAAGACGCCAAAATGTTATGTTAAATTAGCCAAACAATGTATTTATTCAGATATGAAAAACAGACCTACTGCTGTTGAGATTATTGATAAACTTGAAAAATGGAAAAATATTATAGTTGCTCACGATAATAATGCTAAATCAGATATGAAAAAAAGAATTAAGGCTGTTGGGATATTTAATAAACTCAAAGAATGGAAAAATTTTATAGTTGTCAATGGTAGTAACGTTAAGTTAGACAAACAAAGCATTGATTCAGATGATTTAGGTAAAGAGATCAAACAGCAATTTTTAAAAGCCGATAAATCAATTAATGAGTTGCCAATTACCTCACAAAAACATGTATATTTCTAAGCTTATTGATACGAGAGAAATCGTTTTAGAGTCTGAAAATTTTAGAATTAATCAATAGCTTAATCCATGTAAAAAAATCCGTATTGATTATATTGTTAGTAATTTATTTTTATAAATAACAAGATTAAAGGATATTAAATATTTTGATATAGTTCGATAGTAAACTTGAATGGTTTATTTTAAGTGCTTTTTATACCCGCCAAAATTAACATGAATAATAAAGAATTAAATACAAAGATCACGTAAATAATATTACATTTTCTTTAGAAAAGTATTCACCCAACCTTAAATTATCTGAGTTAAACATAAAACCATAAATAAAATCATGAGCTTTAGTTACAATCTAAACTTTGTATTTTTCGGTAAGGAAATTAGTTAAATAAGAAAATTATCAAAGTCAATAAAAGAATGTAGATCTACTTGTAATGACATCTGATGCATTTATCTTGAACTTTAAATATAATTCTTAATAAATTTTGCTTTGTTTTTTGCTTCGCTTCAGAAGTGTTAGCTTAGTTTTAAATATATTTATTTAGAAGCATCAATTATAATCCGTTGTAAGTTTTGAAAATCTCACCAAAAGAAATAAATGAACGTTACGCAATGCAATACATACATTCTGTACGCACGTACGTACGTACCTGCATGGCAGTGCATCCCCTCTAATTAGCCAATTAAAATGCAAAATTCTCGTATTAAGTTATACTAAATTTTAAAAAAACAACAAAACTCTAAAATTTAATTGCCTAATTAGGGATAAAAAACATTTTCCTTAACATTAATAATATACTTTTTTGATTGGCTAATAAATATCTTACGTAGGAGGAAAGTGACAAAAATATATTATATAATATCTGTGACTCTCCTTAGTATAATCGAAGGCATAAGGTATATGACTTTAATTTTATAATAATGATAGCTATATAGTATAATTAATTGTACTGTTGTGAAAATTTTTGGCATGTATTGTAACTATTATTCGGGAGAGAGATAAAACTAAACCGACTTATGCTCTAATAGTTACTGGGAGATAGGCTTTGATTTACTTAAATAAAGGTCTCTTCAGCACTACACTAGCTTACTTCCTTTATTATCCTTAAGTAAAATCGAAGAGAATCTCTTTATTATTAAAGACTAATTCGGAGGAAATCTTCTTTCTTTATTAAAGGTCAAAAGATAGTGTTTATATACATTTTAGTTACTATCCTACACATTAATGTGTTCATTAGTACTTTTACGTGTTGTCTAACACAACGGTGTGTTAATAATTTATAAATTTCTAAGCCCAACACGTTGCTGGGCTATCGCGAAGTTTCGATACCAATAAAATTTTACCCCTTAATAACACATATGTGCTAACACATTAGCGTGCTATACACTTTGTACAAAAATGGATGATCATATGTTATCATTAGGGTAAATCGAAATTTGTTTATGCATTACAAAAAAAATGATGAACTATTAATTAATTACCATTTTTATACATGGAGGCATTTTTACAGAGAAATAAGCAAACCACCATGTAACGTAAGTGCATTAACGTTTACAACCATTTTTCGTTCTCGCATTTCGCTCTGGGTTATACGGATAATTTATTATTTTATTCTTATGCACAGTGAACTTTGACCTATTTTAAAGCTATAGACGGGTTTTTCTATTAATAAAACGTTACACTCTTTAAAACTACCAAAAACTTATAAACAGTTATTCGGACAATTTCAAATTTCTGCATCGCTCCGGACTAGAGATGAGAAAAATGCGCATTTTATAATAAAATGCGCATGAATGCGCATTAATACGCACAAATTGTTTCATGCGCATGATATCGCATGATAAAAAAAAAGGCAAAAACGATCGAGAGGAGAGAAATTTTGATGGGATAAAATGCGCATGTATGCGCATGATTCCTCAATCATGCGCACGCATGAAACCCATCTCTACTCCGGACGATTATTATAACGTTAATTTTCAAACATTTAATTTTTTAATTGCCAATACAAACAATTCATGCGACAGTAATTTCAGGTACGAATGACTATGCTTTAAATGAAATAAATGTTTTGTACAGGACAAAGAATAGAACTGTCTTGACTCTCCTTAATCAATTCCGTACTCTTACTCTTTTTACTCACCCGCCGTACCCTCATTCTCTTTTCACATATTTATACTCTCATTCTCTAACCTAACGTTTTTCTCTTACTCTTTTTACTTACCCGCTGAAACCTCATTCTCTTTATCAAATATTTATGCTCTCATTCTCTAACCTAACGTTTTTCTCTCACTCTTCATACTAAATCGTATTATCACTTTTTCTATAAAATTTTAAAAAAAATGCTGCATTTTTTTACAGCTACCATTGTTTTCGCTGTCTTTATCCTTGAACTCACCTTAGCTCATAAGTTGTAAAATTATATTTCTACTAATACGAATAGTTTTTGTTAAATAAATAATTTTGGTACTTTTTAGATTACAGTTATTTACTAACTTCCTTAACATTTTTTTAGAGGTTTATAATATACGGGTTGATCCAAGCAGCCTTGACAAAGGTCAACTCTTGCACATAACCTGGGATATAGCGAACCCCAGTAGTTCAATGACTTATGAAATTGATTGTGTGTCTGATGATGGTCGTACTCGTCAATTCATTGCGTTTAAAAACATGAATACTAACCCGCGAGAATATTATTGGCCAGTAAATGTATCTCCTGGCTTTTATCACATAGAGATAAATAACCTAGATTCTAATACTTTTATTGTTAATCAACAAGAAAAAAACATAAATAATATTAATTATAGAGGTCGTTCATACAAATGCGTGGATACTGGTGAATCTAATGATGAATATGAAGCACCTCCTCCTGATGATGAATATGAAGCACCTCCAGATGATGAATATGAAGCACCTCCTGATGATGAATATGATACACCTGATGATTCTTTCTGATACCTGAAACTTTTTCCAATACCTCTTTTTGATAACCTTCCTCCTTCTGGTAATAGTTCCTTCTAGCAAGATAGGTATTAATGTTTAATATTAATGGTAGAAAAAAATATACATATTTTTTAGTCTTGCGTATTGAATTTAAATATATTGTTCGAATATCCATAGAATAATTTTATACTGTACATGAGAAAATAGCCCCACTGGCGCCCCTAATTGTACCACTTGTGTCAAATTTCTGTTATTTTTTAATAATCTATCAAATGGTATCCATATGATCATGTTCATAATCATAAGTTCTAAGTTGTGATTCTTCATATGATTCTTTATATAAATGTCAATCTTTCTTCCTCTATTTATTTATTCTTCAATTGTTATGTCTGAATTACATGTCTGACATATATTTTATTTGAGCCTTCGTTATGAATCGTAAATATTCATGAAATCAAATAGCTTATTTTAAATATATAGTTAATAAGTGTTACGATTGAAACTGGACCCTTATGATTTGTGCCTGGGGCAATAAATTTGATTTATGTTCTCCTTCTAGGAATTTCTATCCTAGTTCATACTGCATCTGAACTTAGCCACAGAGTTTCGCATTCAATTTGGCCCTGAAGGTTGCAGAAACAAATATTAATTTACTTCTAGCCAGCTTGAACTGTTAACCTTGTTTGTGAAAGTTTGAGAGCTTAATCAATAAGTTACAGAACCCAAACTCTGTGCTGATATTGTATTGGATTTTTTGTAAATATAATAAAGAATCCAGTCTTCTATACTTAAACTTGAGTTATATAGCTAAGAAAATATTGAACTGTGCCAGATTAATATTGAATTTGTATTAAAATAATTGGTAAATATTTATAAAAATTTGTAAACAGTAGCAATTGTATTAAAAAAAGGAGTTTAAAAATTTTACTATTTTATTTTATAGATTATTAGACTATTCTATTGGTTGAGGTATTAAAAATTGATAAGTTGAGGTTTTCTAAATAATTTGACTTTAGAAAAGTTTTGTTGTTCTAGTAAAGTCTATTATAATAGATAATATTATTGATAAAATTATAAAAAATAAATAGATTGACTATATGAGTGTCGCTAAAAGAAACCCAAAAATTTAAATATGATTTATATTTAAATTATCGGGGTTTCTTTTAGCAACACTCATATATTAGGTAGGTTTGTATTAATTAGTTGTAATCTGGGTTGTTTTTTCTAGCCTAAATCTTAGATACTATATAAATAACCTAAGTACTGTTTAGCTAATAGTGTTGCAAATATGTTTTTGTTTGCTTTAATTATAGCTATAGTTGCAATTTTGTAAATATTTACTAGTATTGTTGTTATATATTCTTTTTGAAAACAGATATTATATACTAGATAAAGTATTGGTTTCATTGTTTGTATTATTACTTTGGCTGAGTTCTTTATTAATATCTACTACTATAACAATATTGTCTCAAATTAGTAGTTTTATTTTAAATTTGTCAAGTCAAATAAAATTGATTAACCTTGTAATATCAATAGTAAATAGATATCTGTCTGCATATTCAGAAACTAGAAAGATAACTGTAAAGTGAATTTTGCCTAGGTTTTAATTGTTATATTGATAAATTCATTAGTGGATTCTGTTGTTAGAACCTTGTATTGTTATAGAACAGTTTCATTTTATTAGCTTATTCTTTTATCTTAATATTATTTTATTATTTTGATATTTGTATTTTATTAGTTATTAGTTATTATTATTATATTTATCTTAGAGAAGAATTTAAAAGATATGTATAACAATTAGCCTTAATACTTAATATTTAGCGATTAACAACTACACTTAGCGATTAGCGATTAGCGATTACGCTTAGTGATTAGCGATTAGTGATTACACTTAGTGATTAGCAATTATACTTAGCAATTAGTGATTAGCGATCAACACTTAACACTTAACAATTAGCGATTACAATTAACGCTTAGCACTAAGTAAACTATATTTAGCTGCAATGATAAGCAATTAGCTCTAAAGATATAAAAGCCTGTAAATTTCCCCAAGTTAACATTAGACCTGAAATAACAACAAACTTGTTATTGTCCACCCTAAACCCAGACTTTCCTAAATTCTCTCTTGTAATATTATAGGATTCTTTAGAAATAGAAATCTAAGGATAGCCTATTTTATTTATTTTTAATAAACATATATTTTATCTATATATCATTGTCTGCCCAAACTGCTATAGGCAGAAGAGTATAGTTTCTCCAAAAAGCAGAAATTATACTTACCTGTTGGACACCACTATTAACCTATAAAGGATCTCTGTAGCCATATCATTGTTATAGTACTGCTGTTAAGAAGGCCACAGTACTGTAACAGTATTAAATGTTTGAAGAAGTTGTAGCTTTGGAGTTAGTTGTATTGCAGAAGAAGTATGCTAATAAAATAGTGTAAATCTACTTTGTTGATTTGTGCTAATAGAGTTTTGTTGTATAATAGTTTGAAGTGATTGGCAGCTTTGTTACTATTGCTAATAATCACTATGATGTTAAAAGGTGTTACTTGAGGCAATGTTAAGAGAACTATAGGATCCTTGCTACTTGTAGATAGGGAGGTGTGTTTTTCTTCCAGTAGTATTTAATCTAATGAATGTTTTGTAAAGTTTATTATTTTTAGCTATTCTAGCTGTTTGCATATTGTATTTATTTAGTAATTTACTGAGTTTTCTTTATTTAAAGTATTTTTCTTTGTTCTGGTTGATCAGCTGGAAGGGTTTTAAATATCTTTTAAGAAGCATATATAACTTTAAAAGGAATAAAAATTAAATTAATAATTGAAATAATAAAGAAAAATAATTAAAAAAATAACGTTAAATTTTGTGAATTAAGGAATTACAGAAGATCAGTATGGTACGACTGACCAGATCAGTATAGTACAGGCCGAATTTATTAAACTATACTATACTGTTTTGTTTAATTGTTACACCTATTAAAACCCGGCTGGCGTTAAGCATAATTCTGGGCAGATTTAATTCTAAATTCTAGAGGATGTGATAATTAAACAAAACAATATAGTACAATTTGATGATCTGGTCAGTCATACCATACTGATCTTTGTAACACCTTTTTGTACAGTGTGAATGCGATGCAACTTGGTTTCTTGACAAGACCTCGTTATGAAGGCATTTTATTAGTAAAATATTAGTTATAAAGTTTTTTTTTTAGTTCATATATACCCAAAAATCCTGGTTTTACACTACTATTCTATATAAATACTTGTGTAATGCTGGCCACAGAAATAGTATTACAAGCTATAAGGTTTTTATCAGCTTGCTAAGCTAGCTAGTAAAAAAATTGGCTAAGCAGCTGACTAATAGCTAAGGCTAAATATTTACTTTTAGAAATTATTGAATATTTACTTAAATTTTTTTTTATCCTTACTCGTATTTTATATTAGATCATTTTCTTTTCAGAATTTTTTGGTTTCATATACAGTCAAACCTTTCTATAATCACACACTTGGTTTTAGAATTTTATATAGAAATTAAAAATTTGTGATTATAAGCAAATGTGACTATTAAGAAGGTGATGATAGAGAGGTCTAACTATATCTCCTATTAATTAATTCTGCCTGATATTATCACTTTGGTCTAAATTATACTATTACAGCTATTTTCATAATTCCTTGGACACCTGTAAAAAATTAGCCAAATGATTTTTTAGCCAATTCATTTAAGTTATTAATTCAGTATAATAAATTTAATAAAAATTAATAGATGTTAGTAGGTCCTCTATAAGTTGAGTTCTTGAGCATTTTAAAAGATATAAATGTATCAAAAAACTCCTGTTACTTTTAGGAAAACCAAGACCTCTAAACATGAATGATATAAAATATCTCAAAACTTTAATGAAAAAAAGGCTTGACTAGTATTTGTACAAATTACAATCTGAGATAGAACTTTGGTTAGAACGTAATATTAGTCTTACTACAATTTGAAGGGTTATATTTTGACTTGGATATATATATAAAATGTAATATTTTATATATTTTTACAGTATATTCTTACTTTATAGATTTATTACAAATTTAATTTTATAAATCTCAAAACTTGCGAAAGAATGAAATGAAGTTGATAGAAACAATATTATTTTATGAATATTTCAGTATTCACCAAGTTAATTAGTTTTTTCAGACAAAACTGCTTATAACAGAAGAACACTATGGATGAAATTTTTCAGGATTGCGTGCTCAAAAATATATATTTTTTGTTTGAGGAAGATAATTCACTATAGAAAGTGCATTATGTATTAATGGTCTCTTAGCATATTGTATTTAAGAAGGTTCTACAAATTCGACTAATTATAAAAATTTCATTGAACATGTTTTAGTAAGAATTTTTATTAAAATTAATATGACATCAATATGTATATAATTTAGTATCAATTAAATATATTTTAATAAAATTATAGTTGCTGAAAATGAATCTATTTCCTGAACAATATAGTGTATTAGTTCTTGATAATGCATCTATACTAGATCTTTGTGAAGAAAAAGGTGTTTGATTAGAATTTTTACTAGCATACATACCAGATTTTAACTCTGTAAGTAATAATAATTTAAGTACAATATATCTAAAATATAAGGGACAACTTTCTGCAAGCGTTCTGATTGGCCAAAGTGAAGGGATATAAAGATTTTGCAATAAGGTTTAGTGATTTGATCAGTTGAGAGCAATAGATAATAAGTATATATTTTTAAAAATAATTACAGTATTGCTTAAAACCTTAGTGTAATAAGTGCAGTACGACTCAGATAATTTTCATAACTAAATTGATCAGGTTTAATTTTCACGGTTCTATAGTTGATCTTTAATTTATTATATTGTAAGTGATTGTGAGACAACATTCGGCAGGCGCTTTGGTTGGCCAAAGTGAAGGGGTATAAAAATTTTGAGATAAAGTGTGGTGACAAATAAGCAAATTGATCAGTTGAATCCAATAAATAATAAGTATAAGATATTGGTCATGCAACGATTAATATTATGTTATCATGCAATTATGATCATGATTTACAAATCGTGATTAGCTAACTGAGTTTTAATTTAGGATTGTTGTGCTTACGTAATAACGTACTAAGAATAACAAGAGGAAAAAAATCTATGATCATAAGAGTTTGCACGATAAGTATTTATTTTTGAAAATAATTACAGTATTGCTTAAAACCTTATCATGATAAGTGCAATATGATTCAGATGATTTTTATAACTAGATCGATAGAGTTTGATTTTCGCGGTTCCGTAGTTGATCTTTAATTTATTATATTGTGAGTGATTGCGGAATATAATCGCTAGAGATTTGAGATTTGCATAAACAATTGCAAATCTAAGACAAATAGAAGAAAAAAAGCATATAAAAGGATTCAAGGTTTTGTTTTTTGACAAGTTAAAATGGAAAAGACTGTTTTGATTAGCAATTCTAAAGCTCTATAGGGAAAGTAATGAGTAAGCTCATTCTTATATTAAAAAAGCCACTTCCTAAAATTTCTGCAATTTGTATATAATAAAAATAAAATAAAATTTTTCTTTTAACTATGAAAAAATTATTTATACTCGCTTATATTCTATAAAAAAATATAAAAACACTTTAATTTCTTTTAGACTCATAAATTTAACCTTAAATATTATCCAATTTAATTCTTATTATAAAAACGATGCCCTGTTATTTAGACACTATTGTTAAAATCAAACATGTTAAACAAAATGAAACAAAAGATGCAAAATCAATTTCGGTATGAGCTATTGGTATGTATCCTGTTGGGTGTGATGACAATGAAATGGAAATGATATTATTTGTACCACGAAATTCTAACGAATGAGACCCTAAATCGCAAGCTATTTTTAAAAGGAGTAAATACTACTCCGTTGGAGGAATAATTGTACCTAATCACTATGCTGGGGTTATAAGGCCAAAAGTATTGAATAATAATTTTTTATAATAAGGCTATACAAACCTAATAAATTAGTTCTCATAACTTGCTGCGTCAAATTTTACAAAACTTTTAAAAAAGTTTTAAAGTATATTTACTATCTGAATGGGTTTTTCTAAAAAATTTATAAAAAATTTTATGTATTTTTTTTATATAAAATTTTTGAAAAATAAATTAAAAATCAGATCACTTTCAAAAATTTTATGTTATGAGAACCAATTTATTAAATTTGTACAGCCTAATTTAAAAAAATTTAATGACAATTAGTAATAATTTCATAATAATTACTTAGATGTCAGTCGTGATTTCGACTCATTTAATTATTAAAGATACTGATTGTTCAGAATCAAACAAGTGTCCCCTAAAAGTATCTTTCGTAGGAACTCCACAAGGAAAATTGTCTGTAATTGAAAATACAGAAAATTCTATTATTGAAATACTTACAACTGATTATATTAGTGTAGAGTATAGTTATATTATTAATGTAGTTTTCTCTCATACTAATCCACGATTTGAAAATCTTAAATCAGCTATCAATTTACAAGAATCTGTTATATTTGTTGTTGGACAAATGAAAGTCATAGATAGCACGTTTTATGTTAATGCGAAAGACATCAATTACATTAGTATCAAAAAAAAAATTTCTGAAGCAGATTCTTCTCAAAATATATCAACTCCAACTAATTCAACAAGGTCCAAACTCTTAAACATCCATCAAAATATAGCTAAAAATTCAAAAAATGTGTTTATAGTTAAATTGCAAAATTCAAATGATACTGAATGTGAACCCTCTGCAAAATGCAAAAAATCTGAAGAATCATATAAATATATTGAAGACCTACCAGAAGTGGAAAATGTCGACTCTACTGTTAATTGTGAACCTGAGATAACTGAAAATAACCTAGCTAAAAATAATAAACCACGAAAAAACCTCACTCGCAATCGAAAAAAGGGTAAAGAATGTCCGATTAGAACTACCGAAATCATCAAACCTCGCAAGATTTAGATCAAGAAACCATTGATTCTGATAAAGAATAAATATAACTACAGTCTTCCTCCTCTATAATCACCTCCTATATAATCACAACTCCCATACAATCACATTGATTTTTGAGACAATTTATTAAAAAACTTATAAAAAAAAACTTTTATATAATCACACTCTTTTATAATCACCAATTTTCTTGATACAAACTGCGTGATTATAGAGGAGGAAGACTGTATTAGATTCAATTTAATAAGCTTTACAACTTCAATTAGAGACTTAAAAATGATTATCTTAGTACTAAAAATGTTTTGAATAAAAGCAGCAACATCTTAAAAAGCCTAATTTCTATATATAAACTATATTACATTACACTATAAGCACTCTTTAGTTAACTAGTAAATTATTAATTAAACAGTTAATTAATATATATTATAATTGTATAATAATTATATATACTCATTTATACTAAAAATTAACTTAAATAATACAAAATTTTTTAAACTTTAGATAAAGATATCTTCATAACTACCAAGCCAAATTTGATAAACTTTTTGTTTAAATTCTATAAATCTATAGAACTCAAATAAAAAATTATTAATTTTGATTTAATAGTTATTGAGTTATTTTTGCTTAAAGTTTTAAAAAAATTCAAAATATCTTTAAAACAAAAGCTATATTACAATTTTTTTTAAACTTTAAATAAAAATATTTTAGCAAAACACCAAGCCAAATTTTTAAATATTTTTTATTTAAATTCTATAAATTTATAAAATTTAAATAAAAAATATTTATTAAATTTAACTTAGCAATTATTAAGATATTTTATTCAAATTTTAGAAAAATTATAATGCAGATTCTGTTTTAATAGACATTTTAAATTTTTTAAAATTTTGAATAAAGATATCTTAGCAACTATTAATTCAAATTTGATAATATATTTATAAAATATAAATAAAAAATTATCAAATTTGACTTAGTAGTTGTTGAAATATCTTTATTCAAATTTTAAAAAATATTTGTATAATTTAATTTGATAGAGTTTTACAGATTTCATATATCAAAAGTTCATACAAACTAACAATCAAATTTATATATATAGCTAAATTAATACTATGATTTAATAGTGATATCTCATAATCTAGCAATTATAATTATATAATTTTGATATTATTAGATTTATTTTGTCAAGACAAATCTAAAAGTACCAAATCATTTAATTATAGTTACTAGTTTATGAAATATTACTATTTAATCAGAGTATTAATTTACTATATATATAAATTTAATTGTAAGTTTGTATAAACTTGGTATGTGAAATCTGTAATTATCTAAACTTTAAATAAAGATTTCTTAGTAACTACTAAGCCAAATTTTATAAATTTTTTATTTAAATTCTATAAATCTATAAAATTTGAAAAAAGTTTATCAAATTTGGCATGATAATTATTAAGATATCTTTATTCAAAGTTTAAAAAAAGTTAAATCTATAGAGAATACAAATAATAAATTTAGAGACATAAAAAATAAGACTTTATAAAATTAAAAAGGCAATTTCTATTTGTACACAGAGTGTTTGTATACAGATATATAGAAAGCCAATCAGATTGCACAATCAGGTGTAATGTAAAATTATTGCTTTCTCTAAAATATTATCTATATCTCAAGATTTCGCTTATGAAACCACCTTTTGGATCCTAACAAAAAAATTCCTTGCAAAATTTTGATATAGGCTATAATATACCCAATCTTAAATACACTCTTATCTTAACCCGAAGTAGGGCTTAATTTTTCATTTTATAAAAGTTGTTTTGATTTGCATATTATAAGAATTTTTAAATTAATACCTATATACCATACACTACATGTACTCTTAGTAATTTTCAATTAAAAATATTAAAAAAAAATAATAATAAAAATAATAAAATTATATAATTTTGAAAGTAAATTAATTTAAATAATTATATAGTTTACAATATACTCTTCTTAACAATAAATTGTTTTAAATTTAATCAAAACCTGTTTAAAAAATTAAGACTAAAGCAGATAATATTTCTAGTTTTGTAACTAGTCAAACTTGTTATTAATAAAACTTATATATATAAAAAAACCCAGAAGCAGACATATACTAAGTAGTTTGTATTTTGAAATAAGTCTTCTTTTTGGCAGACTTTCTTAAATATTTAGTATTTAAGTTAGAAGAATATCTTAATAACAAGACAAGTTATATTAGACTTGAACTAGAAATATCTAAAGCAAAAAAAACAAAAAAAACAACAAAAAAAAATTTTTCTCTTAAATACTTATAATACAACATATTTTTTAATACTTTTGGCTATAATTTTTGACAAAAAGTAAAAATTTAACAAACTCTCTTTAAATGATCAATATTGCTTACTACAGTACAAGAATCCTTAAATCAACATATAAATTAAAAATTTTTTAAATTTTATAAAAAATTAAAAAATATAGTTAAATGAAAAAACATTTAATTAAAATATACAATAAATTGTGCCAGAGCCCAAAGTGGTCACTTTAACATTAAAAAAAATAAAATAAAATAAAAAAATATATACAAATTAAGTAAAACAAACCTATAAAGTTTGTTTTTGAATATAACAAAATTTGATAATGTTATTTTTTTAAAAAATTACTAACAAAATAAAATTTGACTACATATATAAAATATAATAGAGATAGATCAGTTCTGAAAAGACCAAATATGGACTAGTCTTTTTAACCAGTCTTATGGTTAACTAGTCATCAGTCCTGAGACCAGTCTGGACTAGTCCTTATGAATAATTTAAATAACTAATCAAAAATATATTACATAATCTTTTATTTTCAATTACCAGACATTATATGATTTGATTTTCTCTGCTAACCAATAAGATTAAATAATTAAGGACTGTTATTGGAACTGAGGACTGAACTGAAACATCAATAGACTGGTCTTTTTAGGACTGGACGGACTGGACCAGACTTGTTCATCCCAAAATATGATAAAATTTTAAAAAATATAATACAAATACAAATTTAAAAAACATAATAAAAATTTGAAAAATTAGCAAATCAAATTTCAGTATTTTAGCTCAAATTTGGCCACTTTTAAAAAAGGTGTTGGTTTAAGGGTTCCTGCACTGTACTTCTATATCAAAAAACTACAATATATAATAACAACTAACACATAAAAAGAATGGTTCTAGTAAATTTTAGTAGCTAGTTAGATACTTCTATAAATATTTTATATAATATGCTATTGTTTAGATTGTAATTTAGACAAATTTGCGTGTG